GCGAGGGGGGCCCCGGTCTCGCCGGCCAAGATTAGGGTTAGGTCCTATATTAACGTGTCCAAGTTATACGTGTCCAATTGAAACGTGTCCAAATGATACGTGCCCAATATTAACGTGTCCAAGTGATACGTGTCCAATTGAAACGTGTCCAAATGTTACGCTTCCAAAATTAACGTGTCCAATATTAACGTGTCCAAAATTTACGTGTCCAATATTACGTATCCAACTAAACAGAGTGCATTTTAACGTGTCTAAAAATTTATTATGTCTAAAATTGCCGTATCCATTTGCTACGTGTCCAATAGAAACGTGTCCAATATAACGTGTCCATTTGCGACGTGTACAATTGCAACGCGTCTAATTACAACGTGCCCAAATGAACCTATCCCAGTTTTTATAGCATATTAAATAAAGAAACATAGCTCACGTGACTTAAATTTATTAATCAGACATGCACTCGATACTCAAACGCGATTTTTTAATAATAAACCAAAAAAATAAAAATTCAAGAAACGAAAAACTAAACATTTCATGGACAATTACTTTGCAAAACATTTGGTTAAGCTATTTGTTAATATCTCGTCGAACTACCCCAGATTTTAAAAAAATCATGTTTCTAAGTTAATTTATTGCTGAAAAAATGTAAATTAGCAAATTTTAACGTACAAAATCAGATACGCACGAGTCGCCGAACGGCCCGATTAAATCTTCCCCACTCGGCCGCGCGCCGACTTCCCCCACTCTGCGCTGCCTCGCTGCGTTCCTCAACTTTCCAATGGTTTTAAACAAACTTTTTCGGCAGCAAAAAATTCGAGAATTTTTTAACATCAAATCCAATTCTTCTTTAACAAATTGATGCCTGATAAAATTCTTAATCTTAAAAATTAGAGCCACAGTGATTTTTTGAAAAAAAAATTGTTATCTCTGCTTGTTTTGTATGAATGAGCACAACACAAAATGTTTGAATGTGTATTTATTTTTTCTCAGTGATTCAGAATCACTCGCACATAACTGTGTACATTCAGCGTCAATGCTCGCACATAACTGTGTACCGCGTAGTACTAATCCGTTCGTTTGATCGCGTGTAACTACGATCCGCGTGGTATCGTCGCTCCGCATGCGACTGGTCGATTCTTGACACGGCGAACCATGCCTTATTACGTGTGGTATTTATCGGTCCTCGACAACGCCTAGAGGTGCTAACACCTTGAGTCGATGGAACCGATGCGGACACGCGAAACGCCTGAGACCGTCGTCTTGGTTCGCGTTAGACTCACGTCGAGCACGGAGAGCAGAAGGACTTCGTGCCACGGTCAGACTACGAATGCCGTTCCTTCCCTGGAGATCGAGCGTATTCGTTGCGATCCCAGAAAAGGCCGAATATTATTGGTCCCAGGAAAGACCGAATCTTATTGGTCCCATAGATCACAGACCGCCGTGGAGAAAAAGATAGCGATGGCGAGATACCGATAAGCGATGAAAAAACACGCGGTAATACTCGCGGAGTCGGGACCGAGCCGAAAGCTCTGTGATGTAAGCCGCGTCCTTCTGCTCCTTGATCTTTGTCGTGCTCGTAAACCGTATATGTATATACATATGCGTACATATGTCCATATGTGTGTATGTGTGTTAATATGTGTGTTAATATGTGTGTGAGTCGTCCGCCCTTTGTCTTATTTTACGTTGTGCACAACTTATAGCGCTTGTCTACGCGACATACTCCCCTCGTTGAGAGAGTTATCGATCAATCTAATTGGTGTGTATGATCTATTGTAAGTACGCTTGACTTATAAAATAGAATCGACCTTATGCTAGTGATGGAGAGATTACGCTTGTTCCATTGGTAATGGACAGAGACTCTTGACCGGTCTCATTATCTCTCCAGATGCCGTCATAACGGAGACGGTTCTGATTATGTCGTCTTGGCCTGGAAACAATTTTGTGATTCGGCCTAACATCCACTGCGTACAGGGAATCCGCTTGTCTTTGATCAGAACTGTGGTTCCAAACTTCAATTGTGGGCCGTCTTTGGTCCACTTGTGGCGTACTTGTAGTTCGTTAAGGTATTCAAGATACCATCGTGCCCAGAAGTCTTGTCTAACCTTTGCAATGTGTTGCCAGGTAGACAGACGATTAGCTGGAACACAAGTCATATCGCCCTCCGGGAGGGCCGTTAGAGGCTTGCCAATCAAACAGTGAGCTGGTGTTAGAACGGACATATCATTGGGGTCAGACGAAAGTGTGGTAATTGGCCTGGAATTTAAAATCCCCTCGACTTCGGCGACAAACGTATTTAATTCTTCGAATGTGAATAAGGAATCTCCTATCACGCGTCGAAAATGATGTTTAAATAATTTCACAGTGCTTTCCCACAGTCCACCGAAATGTGGTGCTGCCGGCGGAATAAAATGCCACACTATACGACGGTCGCTCGCGAATTTGTTTATCCGATCTTTGTGATTTTCGGAATTAAGCAAGGCGTATACTTCTTTTAATTGATTACTGGCGCCGACGAAGTTCGTGCCATTGTCGAGAGTATATGTGCTCCGGTAATCCTCGTCTCGCGGCGAAACGTCGCAGCGCGGCTAAAAATCCGTCGGTTGTCAGATCGGAAACGACCTCAAGATGTACGGCTTTAATAGCCATGCACACAAATATATAAACGTATACCTTAATCCGTGTCCTGTTACGGAATTTTCGTTCCTTAATATAAAATGGCCCGCAGAAATCGATGCCGGTATTGGAAAATGGAATTGCCTCGCTTACGCGTACTGCGGGGAGGTTTCCCATTTTGGGCTGGATGTTGTTAGAATCGAATCTAAAACACCGTACGCATGTGCGAACGACTTTGCGCACTTGATTTCTACCATCGAGTACCCAGAACCTCTGACGCATGGTAGCTAACGTGTGCTGAATACCTGCGTGATAATTTGATTCATGCGTTTCGCGAATGATGATGTCAGTTAGCGGGTTACGGTTTGGGAGGAGGATCGGATGCTTCTGAGCAAAAGATAGATTTGATCCCCGCAGACGGCCTCCGACTCTGATGATACCATTTTGGTCTAGAAACGGATTCAAACCGGCAATTCTATGTTTGATGACGCGACCTTTATTTTCAAGCTCCTTAATTTCCCTTTGAAATTGAGATGATTGCAATTTTTTCAAAATTTGTATCTCGGCTTCAGAGATCTCCTTGTTACATAACGCACCATTGTATTTGTTGGCGGGACGAAAACGGCGACAGTACGCGACAATTCTACACAATTTAGCGTAAGATGAAAATCTATATAAGATTTCTAGATTACCCGACGTCGTTGTTAAACAGGTGTTCTTTTTTAGTTCGGGAACTTCGCAACTTTGTATGATATCGTTAGGCCATTGATTCTCATTGTCGATTAACCACGAAGGGCCTGCCCGCCACGTTTTATTTTGTAAGAAAACGAGAGGAAGTTGGCCTCTTGAGACCGCATCCGCGGGATTATCTTTTGTTCGGATGTGTTTCCACTCTACTGTCTCAGTGAGGTCTCGAATCTCCGTGACTCGATTAGCTACGAACGTCTTAAGTTTATGTGTTTCAGTCTTGAGCCAGTGCAACGCTATAGTCGAATCGCACCAAAAGATTACCCTGTTAGGAACGAAATTTAACGTATTGATTACTTCATGGTATAATCGTGCTAACAATAATGCTCCACAGAGCTCAAGACGTGGAATGGTCACGGGCTTTAACGGCGCAACTCGCGACTTGGCGCACAATAAACGCGATAACACGGCGTCTCGATTATTCTTTGAGCGTACGTAAATACAAACGCCATATCCGACCCTGCTAGCATCACAAAAGCCATGAATCTGTATATTAGAGTGATTTTCTATTAACAGCTTACGATCGAAGGAAATGTGGTCCATCAATTCCCACTGACGCGTAAACTCGGACCATTCATTGAGAATAATTCGCGGAACGGGCTCATCCCAGTGTATTCCGCACCGCCACACGTCTTGCATCAATCTCTTGGCGAATAGTATAACCGGGCCTAATAAGCCTATAGGATCAAAAATCTTCGCGATCTCCGATAACACTCTTTGCTTTGTCACCTGCTCGAAACTTTTAATTGGGTTAGTAGTGTAGGAAATTTGGTCGTCTCGCGTGTTCCATATTATGCCTAATGTTTTCAATGCCCGGTCTGTATTTAAAGTGAAACTCGCGTGTAGTGCATTAGCCTCTAAATCGTTTATGATTCGTTCGTCATTGGATGCCCACTGTCTAATAACGAAACCGCCGCGTGCCAATAACTCGGTCACTTCGACTCGAATCCTACGGGCCTCATCGATGGATTCAGCGCCGGTCAATAGGTCATCAACGTACAGATGAGATTTGAGGATCTCTGCCGCTCTAGGAAAAGTTTCTCGTTCATCATCAGCCAATTTTTTAATCACGCGGATTGCTAAAAATGGAGAGGAGGAAATACCGAATGTAAGAACGTTAAGTTGAAATGTTTTGACTACGCCGCCCTGGCGCCACAAGATCCGCTGATATCGCCGATCGTCCTCGTGTAATATCACCTGGCGATACATTTTCTCGATGTCAGCAGAGATAACATACTCGTAAACACGAAAGCGAATCAAGTGTAGGAATAATTTTGCTTGTATTGTAGGACCTGTCATTAATATGTCATTTAAGGACATACCGGAATTGGATTTCATTGACGCGTCGAACACTATCCGGACCTTAGTGGTATCGCTCGCTTCCTTCATTACCGCGTGGTGAGGCATGTAATAACCGCGATCGTCCGGATTGCGAATCAATGACATGTGTTCTAGCCGTAAGTATTCTTCGAAGATCCGCTCGTATTCGTTTCTTAGAACCGTGTTTATGCTCAGTTTGCGCTCCAGAGACAACAGACGTCTGAATGCCATCGATCTAGATTCGCCGAGAACCTTATTTGTTTTGCGAAAAGATAAACGAACTACGTATCGCCCGTCATGAAGGCGCGCAACGGTATTCGCGAAGTGTGCTTCACAGTCGGAATCTTCCTCCGATTTTATTTCGTTTCCTGTGATTTCGTCTATTGACCAAAATTTTATCAATTGACTGTCTAAATTCATCATGCAATATGTGCCTTCTGACGATAATTGTGGGGGTGTTCCGCCGGCTATTACCCACCCTAAGCGTGTATTTTGAAGATGTAAATCGTATCCTTCGCCAGATAAATCGATCCGACCGTCGGTCAGTAAAGACAAGGTCGCGCCCGAGCCTATTAACAAACCGACGGGCCGCGGTAAATAAAATTCGGGGTCCGCTAATTTAACGTTTCGCGGTAATTTTAGTGCGTCTCGTGGAAAGATTTCCGCTGGTACTAGATTAGCGATCATCGATATCGTTAAGCATGTTAAATCCTTGCGGAAATTTTTGCATAATGATTGTATAGTGATCCGCACCACGCCCCTTGAAATAGTGTTGACGGCATTGATTGCGCTAATCGTTGATGGTTTTTTAATTATTTGTGTATTCAACCGTCTCGCGACGGATTCTGATATAAAATTTGCCGTAGAGCACGTATCCAAGAGTGCTCGACATTTAATGCTGTTGTGATTATCGTGCTCAGGGCCGTGTATACGTATTAATGCGCTCGTCAAAAGTTGTGAATAAGGGCGTGGTGTGGTCGCGAGACTCGTCGCGCGGTGGTCGTGTAATTCGTATAGTCATTTAGATTCGACTGTCGCGGGATTAGGAAGATTCGCATTGTTCGTTCGATTTTCGTCGTGTAAGAGGGTATTGTGACGCTTCTGACATATCGTGCAAAGTGAAAATTTACACGGTGTCCCACGATGGGAACGTAAGCAATTATAGCACAATTTCGCCTTTCGCACCGTGTCAATACGATCCGCCACGCTTAATTGCTTGAATCCGTTACACATGTACAACGGATGTTTTTTGCCCTTACACACCGCGCAGTTATGCGAGGTTTTTGTTATAAAAACGCGATTTGGAATGTCGATTTTTCTCTTTTTGATCGGGGGTTCTCCCTTAGCTTTATTTGATTCTACCGATTTCGCTCGTTCTCGTCTCGATACGCACACCGCTGTTTTATACAGAAATTCGTACATTTCTTCTAATTTAGGGAGAGTCTCTCGATTTAGCGTGATTTCCCACTTGTCTAATGTGGATCTCGGTAATTTACCCTCAATGAGATATATGATCATTTCCTGACCGATTGCGACACCTAATGTATTTAACGACGCGACATGCTGCTGAACGTCGTCGGCGAGCTTTGTTAGACCCTCCGTAGTCTCCCTGTCTAACACCGGCAAATTCACAATGCTCGAAATGTGACGCGTGACTAAAATCCGCTTGACCTCATAGGCGCGCTCTAATAGCTCACAAGCCTTCGCATAATTTTCGTTATCGATCGCGAATATTTTAATCTTGTTGCTGGCTTCACCTGTCAACGCGGATTTTAAATAATGCAACTTGTCGACGTCTGTTAGATCGGTACGCGAGCCTATCATGTCAAAGAACGCGTTTTTAAACGTCAACCAATTTTCGAACTTGCCGTCAAATGTCGGTAAAGGAGCCTCGGGCAATTTAACGCGTCTTTTAGTGGTTATTACGGTGTTCGCGTTTTTGACTGTCGATTCATCACTCGCCGCGTTATCGGCCTTTTTCGCTGTATCCGCCGCGTTCAACTTGTCCTCAACGCGACTCGCGAGTATGTAGAAACGATCTTGGATGTTTGCATATTCGGTCTGGTGTGCGTCGCTTGAGTCTAATACCGCAAGTTCATCATTGAAATCCTCGAACGCGTGAAACTGATCCGACAACCGTTTAATGCGCAGTCTCAAAGCACTGCCTTCCGTGTCGCCTTTGTCGAGGAGATTAGCCAAATTCGTGATTTGTGATTTCAATGACGTCCGTTTTTGAACAATGAGTTTAATTCTGTCAGCCATATCACTGTGTTGTGTAACGAATGAAATCGTTGACTTACGTTCGTACGATCACACCGTCTGACTCGCTGTCGTTAGAACTGCACCTTCCTGACTCGCAAGATTTGGTACGGCGTCTCGTGACTGGCTGTCGTCTGCGGGGCTCCGTGACCTCACAGGAGGCACCAAATGTTTTGTAGGAATGAGTACAGCATGAACGTTTGAATGTGTATTTATTCTTTCGCGATACATTCAAGATCACTCGCACATAACTGTGTACCGCGTAGCACTAATCCATTCGTTTGATCGCGTGTAACTACGATCCGCGTGGTATCGTCGCTTCGCACGCGACTGGTCGATTCTTGACACGGCGAACCATGCCTTATTACGTGTGGTATTTATCGGTCCTCGACAACGCTTAGAGGTGCTAACACCTTGAGTCGATGGAACCGATGCGGACACGCGAAACACCTGAGACCGTCGTCTTGGTTCGCGTTAGACTCACGTCGAGCACGGAGAGCAGAAGGACTTCGTGCCACGGTCAGACTACGAATGCCGTCCCTGGAGATCGAGCGTATTCGTTGCGATCCCAGAAAAGGCCGAATATTATTGGTCCCAGGAAAGACCGAATCTTATTGGTCCCATAGATCACAGACCGCCGTGGAGAAAAAGATAGCGATGGCGAGATACCGATAAGCGATGAAAGAACACGCGGTAATACTCGCGGACTCGGGACCGAGCCGAAAGCTCTGTGATGTAAGCCGCGTCCTTCTGCTCCTTGATCTTTGTCGTGCTCGTAAACCGTATATGTATATACATATGCGTACATATGTCCATATGTGTGTATGTGTGTTAATATGTGTGTTAATATGTGTGTGAGTCGTCCGCCCTTTGTCTTATTTTACGTTGTGCACAACTTATAGCGCTTGTCTACGCGACACGCAATTTACAAAATACAATAGTATATGTAATATGTTGCAAGAAATTATATATTCTTTTTACAATTGGCGTAATTTAAAGATTGGATTTCATTTTTTTTTTAATACATGCCTCCGTACTACTGAGGAGTAATTTATAATAAAAAATTAACAATATTACCACTTGTATTATATTATTTATGTAACAGTTTTTTTTTTTAGTTTATGTAAAGTACAGTTTTTTTCGTAGGTATATTCACACTTGGCGCCTTTTTTTTTATCTTTTTTTAAAAAGGTAATTTTGTTAAGATGGGATATACGGCAAAAATGCAAAAGTTTCAAAAAGCTTATTTTTCAATATCAAAAATAAATATTTCGGATTTCTAATATTTTTTTCGTAGTAGTAGACAGTACAAAGTTTTTACTGATATAGTTCGTTTATTTTAAATATAGTAAATAATACTTAATAAATTCAGTTTTTAATAGGTGCGGCCTATATACCGGAATTATACGCTCAATTGCTCTGCGAGTTGTTTTTGTGTTTGTGAATCGTTTTCGTCCAACAATGCTTGCAATTCTACATCTTCGAACCTTTTTGGCGGTTTTCCGTATTCCTTGTCTACAACATCGAAATCATTACTTTTGAAACGCCGAAACCATCATTCACACGTATCTTGCGATGGAGCACGGTCACCATAAGCTTCTCGAAGTAATCGGTATGATTCAGCGGCAGTTTTCTTCAAGTGAAAACATTAAAATTAATGCTGTCCGCGAATGCTCTTTATTTGGCACAAATTTCGACATATTGAACATAGCAAAACAATACTGTTATGTCCAAATTGCATCGTCGCCCGATATACGCCGGAGTTCGCCGTCCGTGAAGGAAGAAACACGTTGCTAGGCAACAAGTCGTTGTTGTTTAAAACAGATATTTGGAGAGAAGTCAAGGCGTTCGGTCGTGTTTCTCCGATTACACTCTTTATGTTATTCTTGGACTGTATCGTCGATACTAATAAAGACCTTCTTTGTTATTTCTTATACATTCTTGAATCCATTTCTTTCCGCGACTCGGGAGTGCGCGTCGCGGTCGTGAGTGCGATCTCGCGTAACGAGCGCAACAGGACGAACAGACGGACGGACGTAACAATACTATGCAAACACTTTTTCAATTTATCACTTACGCGCGTTTGACACTTGTTGATGGCACTACAAAATGGCATATACGTCAAATCTTTATACTACACACTGCATTGGTGCACCATCTGTTGTCTCAAATCCGCACTTCATACTTGTACACCTGGTATATAAATATAAGATATGTTCAAAATATTCCATTTTTATTGAACAACAGAGTTTCATACCCATACAGCACAGTAACATTGCAATCGACGTCTTTTCATATACTTTTTGATCGAAACGATATACTTTTGTTGATATAAAGCGTTGATGATGTAAGTATAATACACAAAATACTGAGATTTCTTCATGGGATTTTTCGAATGCCACGTTTTTTCGTATCTTTTTGGCTGAGGTGTGAATTTTTAACTGAGGCATTGTACTTTTGCATGTGATACTATACTTGGACTGAGGATTCTTTTTCAAAATAATATCATGTTGTCATATACATCTTTACTATAAATTTTCTCATAGTCTCCACAGTCAGTCAACCTATCAATCAACCGGTTAGTCGTTCTATCAATATGTAAGTTTATTCAAAATAAAGGATATAAACGATATATTGGATGTTGTAGACAGATTACATGTGTACGCTTTGATTTTGGCAGATAGAACGAGAAGATTATCGAAAAGTACGCTACGAATACATGAAAAGTCTGCTAGCATCATTCAGAAAACACCAAAATCTTTCCGAATCAATATTGAGATTGCCGACAATATAAACAACAATTGGTGCAGACGATGTAAGTACTTATATTAAAAAGTTAAGATTTTTGTCATTCATTTTATACAATACATTTTCATACGATTTTATTAAAGCACATATTAAAATTTTATTAGAGCAATATAAAAAAATACTATTATTTATTAAAATAACTTATTATCCAGAATAGTAAACTGTCATCAAACTTGTGATATTGTTTTTAAATGTTATTTAGAATAATCTAATAATATAACTTTTTCATAATTTTGTTATGTGATATAGAGAACAAGTCAGTGGGTAATGAATCGAATCAGAAGTTTCATTTTTATGAAAAATAAACAGGACACAATTATAAAATATCACAAATAATTTGAAAGGCTACGAGCCAGAGATACAAAGAAAGTTTTTTTTTTAAATTATAAATATAAAATTACAACAGACAAACGTTTCGACATCGATCGGGTCATACTCAATGTTAACAAAAGTTTAAATATTAGAAACTGCAAATTATATAAAATTTCTATAACTTAATACGTGTATAAAGTGATGTGAATACGCAATATTTGCTGAAATGCTTGCAAAGACCTAGTTATTCTTGTTAGTCCTTCAATATAATCCAAAACTCAATTGATAATGGCATTTTGCTTGTGTTCTTGTAAACGTTGTTCTTTCTTATAAAAATGTTGAGTCCAAAGTTAAAAATCTCATGGTAGTCGTGAAAGGCCTTGGAAGCATTACAGTAGTGCAGAAGTTAACATAAAAGATCTATAAAACTCGTATAAAATAACCGTAACAATCGAAGATAACACTATTATGCAACTGTGAGGATAAACAAAATTAAAAAAAAAATTAAAATTACCTTTGTAAGTAAAGAGTTTAATTCTCGTTAAAAAGAAAAATTAACAATCGCTTGTAGACTTTCATCTTAGATTGGAGCAAATTGCAATGAAAAAAAGATATGTTTAGACTATGTATCGCCTCACTCGAGACAGACGTATCTCAGACGAATACCACAACACAATAGCAACAGGAGACGAATAGAACAACGGAAAGATGCTGACTGGAAGGGGAATAAGGAAAACAGCTAGAAAGGAGAAAGAGACTGTACGATGTTCGAATATAATTCTGGCAATAATCCGTATCATTTTGTTTGTTAATTCCGTATTTTTGCCTTTTAATATGCACCATTTCCGAAATTAATCTCTTATTATAGGACGGTTCTATGTCCAAGATTTTTACATTGTCGCATTTGAAATTATTGTTCTCCTCAATGCGGTGATTACAAATAACCGATGGAGATTTTGTTTTTTTGTTAATGCCGGAAACGTGCTCATGCAGTCGTGTCTGCAACTGCCTCTTCGTTTGACCACATAACTTACATCATAGTCATCACATGAAATCTTATAGACAACATTTTGTAATGGTTCCAACTTATCTTTCTTTTTTTAAATTAAATTTTTTTTCTAACCTCTTTAACAATCAATAGCGTATTTAAAAAGTAATTCTTCCGTCTGCACAAACTTCCACAGTAAACTGTAATTTGGTATGTAAAGAGTTAAAAGTTCCCAAAATATCATCTACACTCTCAGATGGAGCGACTAAAATAATGTCATTCACATATCGAAAATAAAATAACAACCGACAAGGCAACCTTTTAATCACAATTTCTTCCAAATCCTGCATGACCATATTAGCAATGATTGGAGACAAGGGTGATCCCATAGAAGTCCCAAAGATTCGTTTATAAAGTTTATTATTAAAAGTAAAGAAAGTGGAATTTAAAATCATAGGAAAAGCTATCAAAAATTTATCTAAAAGAATTTTGGTTTTTCTCGATATAAAATCCTATCTACTAACGACACTATCAGATGCCAACTTTATAGGAACAGTTTAGTAAAAAGGGAAACCACATCAAGAGAAATCAGAACGTAGTCAGGTTCAATACTAACATTCTTCAGTTTTTTAATAAGATCAAAACTATTTTTTATGTGGCTAGGAGCTTCCGGTATAGCGTCATTAATAATATTGTGTAAATATAATGATAGATTATATAAAGGGCTATTTATTGATGAGACAATAATTCTAATGCTGCTATCGGTCGCTAATAACCTCCGATATGTGTATAAAAGACGTTGATACATAATCATAGCGGCGGATCTTGATATACAGCAAAGAAAAAAAAGTCTTCTCTCTAGTTAGATATAGTATATATAAAACCCAATAGAGAG